AAAAATCTGGAAATATGTGAAATAACTGTGTTTCGGTTAAAAAGCTTAATGAAGATTTCTACTTTGGCTATTTTACATTCATTTTATGGTTTTTGTATGGCAGCCATTGCTGACAGTCATTGACTGTTTTTTACAATGAAGGTATTTGATCATAATAATGCATTGTTTTTACAGTATCGTAATAATCCAGATAATAGCTGTAAAATAACAGTGTTTTTCTGTAAAACATTCAAGAAAAATATCTGTAAAATGTTTTTTGCGCTTAATTTAAATTAGGATATTTTGCTTTATTTTTACGGTATTTGTCATTTGACCCTTTTTTTACGATTTTATTTTTTACAATGCAGGGTGTAATTCAATGTAGAACCGCCACTGGATATGACAATGAGCTCAACGAGAGAAAAGATCTGCATGTTATTTTAAAATTTTACCTGAAAGACAAAGCAGATGAAAACAAATTTGGTCCGTCATCTTGCCACAGGTTTTGTCACTGGAAAAAAAGTACAAATACAAAAAATCACATTAGTTCACTAATATACATATCATGCATTTAAGTAGAAAATTAAATTAGTAAATTAGGATCTAAACATTGAACGGGTAATAATATCCATGATTCTATAACTTATAAAAATCAGAGCATATATTTCCTATAATTTTGACGAAGAATTTATATGAAGAGATAAGCAGATACACTTTAATTGTTTTGGGTGGCTTTGTAGTGCGTGTAATCTTAATGTATCTTTATTTTTATCAGTTTAAATGTCCTTGTGGAGCATGTTAATGATGAATTCACAAGTCTGCAAAACGAACAGTGAAAAGTTAAAAAGTTCCTAAAAAGTTCTTCTCAAATTATCTTGCAGTTATTGCATTGTAGTTTTTCACTAGTATGACATTGTGTTTGGACATGTAAAGCATTAAAGATTTGCTCTTTGTTAGTCGTCACCTATCTCAATATGAACCTCACACCATCGGTGCTCGGGCCCTAATAATAAAAGAGACATCAGGAATGCAGTGCAATGTTGAAAAAGGTTGTGCAATTAGCAATTATAAGATTAATAAAGCATATTAAGGTAACACAATGTGCAGTGTGTATGGTATGGACATCTGTACACCACATTGTGCAACCATTTCAATAAAGGTCAGATTTAATGGGGAAAAAATCATGATTTGAAAAATGACAAATAAAGAAGAGACAAACGAGTACGATATGATAAATATCACAGAAGATTTGATTTCTTATGCATTATTAAATAAGATTTCTTAAGCCTCTGTTCTTTCAAAGCTTTTATATTTAGCATTCTCACTTCATTCATTCCTAATATAAATGTGTATTTGTCCATTACCTTTCATGGAAAACCTCCTTCAGTGTGGAGACGCCGAGACTGATTCCCGTTCTGACTTTGCTGCATTATAAGGATCCTTATTTAAATGGCACCACAGAGCAGGAAAATAACCAGTAACTGATACCATCCTTATGGAAATGTATCATTTGTACATGCTTGTAGAAACAGCATCTGCTCTTCTCTTCCATCGGGGTCTGTGATGTTCCCCATTCGAGACACGAGAACACTTGAGTTGATCATCTCCCAATATATACACCATTCCCTTCACCCGTCCCTGAATTCACTTCTCAGAAAACAAGACTTAATATCGAAAGTCATTTCACTTGTCCAGAAAATGTGTCCTGATTTAGATATTTCTACTGGAGAACACAAAGTATTTTTAGTGTAAAGAGAAATTGGAGATGTCCTTAATCCTTAATATAACTCAACTTTTAAGAAACTACAAACGCTAAAATGTTACAAGTTACTGTGATCAAGGAAGCCCGACTGTGCCACCAAAACTTCTTCTTTTTTATTTTAAGAAAAATGTTGCTTTTTTTGGTCACATTCTTAAAAGTATAAACATTGAATGTTTATGTTTCTGTACTTATTGCGTCACTTTAGGGTGTAGCAAACATTATTAACAGCTAATAATCCATCAAAACACAGAGCAAATGTTACAATAGACAAACGCCATATAGTTAATATGGGCTTCTGGACGAGCTCAGTTACTGGTTATTTTCATGCTCAGCGATGCCATTCAAATAAAGAAACAAAGTCCAAATGGAAATCAGTGTCTGTGTGTCCAGACGGATCATTTTGCATCTTTAAAACAACACAAGGTTTTGCACGAATTGGTCATAAATGACTTCCTTGAACAAACATTATTTACTGCACTGGAACACATATCATTACATTATAACAATAAGACAACAGAAAATGTGTAAAACTACACTGACGTTTGATTTTAAAGCCTGTGAAGTGTGATCCATATCATATGAACTTAAATATACAATAATAAATCACTTTTATCAACGCTTCAGATAGGAATCATGAATATTTATTTTGTTTGCTTATGAATAGATAAGCAAGAGATGTTTGTAAAGTGACCTGCAACATACATTTGGCCACTGCTAAATGTTTAAATTTACATTTACATTTACGCCTTTGGCAGACGCCTTTATCTTACATTGCATTTCAAGGTTTAGACAATAATTTATTTTTGATAATTCGTATTTTTCTGACATGCATATTGGGAGGAATTTCAAAGGAATTAAACACTACGTAGAATAACTTACGCAAGTAGAAAACATGTATATCTCATGTTCAGCAGATGGAGCTCCAGTATAGAGCAAGAACAGCTGGATTTTAAGCCACATATCAGTTCAAGTTCAAGTTTAAGTTCATTTTATTTATATAGCACATTTACAACAGGCACTAGACTGACCAGAACATCAATAAAATACAATAAAACCTGCATAACAACTCATAAAACACATAAAAGCAGAAAGAGCAACCTTAAAACATGTACACTCTTAAAAAGGATGTGTTAAAAACAACACAACCTGTGTTATATCTTAACACATCTGTGTGTTTAGTTAAGGACAACACATTTTGTGTTACTTTTAACTCAACCAGTGTGTTATTGTTCTTAACACAGGGAGTGTGATTTCACTAAGTTTGCACTTTGAATTAGATTAAAATGTAGCAACTGACAAAATATTGCGTGTAAATAAGTTTTATTTACACTGGTGCACTCTTATAAAATGATTTTGTAAATAACACAACCTGTAAAAAGAGATGTCAAAAATGACACATGCTGTGTAGATTTTAACACATAAAGTGTGTGTGCTTAGGGACAACACATTTTGTGTAGATTTTAACACATGCTGTGTAGATTTTAACACATGTAGTGTGTGTGCTCAGGGACAACACATTTTGTGTAGATTTTAACACATGTTGTGTAGATTTTAACACGTTTTGTAGATTTTAACACATTTAGTGTGTTTGCTCAGGGACAACACATGTTGTGTCAAATTTAACACACAACCTGTGTTGTTTCTTTACACATCTCTGTGTTTATAAGGATTACACATTTTGTGTTACATTTAACACAACTAATGTGTTAGACAGCAGCAGTGTGTTGTTGAAACCTTTTACACACTAATGTGTTATAGTAACACAACTTGTGTCAGATATGCGTCACATGTGACTGTAGTCGGAGAGTATTTGCCAGAGTTACTTCCCGTGTGCTTACAAAAGTGTTTGGATGAACACTGACACGTATTGGTAACTTGTGTTTATGTAGTCCAGTGATGTTTAATAGAGTTTGTTTGAACATTTGGATGTTTTAGACATCATTAATCTACATAGACAAGCTCTTATTGAGAATTAACAGAGGTTTGATGTTTCATTTCAGTTTTATTTCAAGTCACCATAATCGTGATTAATGGCTCCTTTATTTGGGCTCTTGACCCTTTACTCTTGTTTTAGTGTTTCTCTGCCTGCTGTAACTGTATTTTAATAAAATACATCTGTTATGGTGATAGAAAATATGATCAGATGGTTCTTGATGATGTCATAATCAGGATGGAGTGCTTTATTTTAATGATGTATTGTTAGTTCTGAAAGTTTTGTGAAACTACATCCAGCAATCAAAAAGTGCAGAATGACAAAAAAAGTTTAAAGCTACAGCAGAAACCAGTCAAACACAGATATCAAGAATCAGCGTATGGATCTCAATAATGGTGACAAACGAAAAATTCAGGCCGCAATGCATGCTGGGACTTATGGATGAGCTTTATAGAGACATGAAGCTTTGCCACCATTGTTGAGAGTCATATGCTGATTCTTGATGTCTGTATTTGACTAGTTTCTGCTGCAGCTTTAAACTTTCTCTAAACATATTTTTTAAAGAATTATAGCATAAGGTAGCATACACCATAATATCATGTAAAACTGAGTATCTGTAATCAAATATAAGTGATCAAATATAAGTTATCTCTTAAACATTAAACTTCTCTTGCTATGTTAAAAAAACATCATGTTGAAAACTGATCATTTAATGATCTTTTTCCTCAAGATAATTTCAACTGTTTCAGATGTGCAATATAAATACACAGAAACAGCAAACAGAGAAACGAATGGTAAAGAGTGAAGGGTCAAGAGCCCAAATAAAGCTGCCACTAATCACGATTCTGGTGACATCAAAACAAACATTCAATGAATCGTCAACACAAAATCTGGTAATTCTCAATAAGTGTTTCTGTAGACGTCTGACAGAAATAAATTGTTTGTTATAATAAATTAGTTATTAATAACAAGTGAAATCAGCATTTGAAAAAAACATTGCAACCGAGGCATGATGTGATTGGCTGCCAAAAACACTCATTAATCTGAAGTTTTTTATGAATTAAGATTTTATTTATTTATTGTAATGTATTGTTTCATTTATTTTAGAGCTTGTTGTGGGATACCATATAAAATATACTACCTCTAATTAGGTTCATAAACACAAACTTCCCTCCACCCATTACAATTCTATCCAGTTACATTTTAACACACGTTGTGTGTTAAAAACTACACAACTTGTGTCAAAATACCATCAACACATGATGTGTGTTGTTTTTTAACACATCTCTTTTTAGAGTGTAGTAATGACTCTCTAATCCCACTTTACAATTTCTTTTGCAGGTCCTGGGGAACTGAATAATCCAAATTAATACAACTATGCTATGTTTTTATTAATACAGCGAGATGCAATGTTTTTAATGTCAATGTGTTTGTAGTTAAACAAAAAATGAGTACAATAGAGTACAATCAAATCCTTATATTACACTTACGTTGCAGTGTAATCTGGTAAATCTAGATAAAAGTGTAATTCGTCTTCGATGCACTTGGGGATTTACGATTACTCCAGAGCACTCTCTCATTGTTTGATAATTATTGAATTAATGAGTAGGCTATGGAGTAATTGACGCTTCCCGTGGAGCTTGATTGACAGGTAATCTGACCAATCATACTTCGCCATGATCGGCCATTTTGTCCGACAAAGCAGTCAGGAGAGATAGAAGATTAACATGGGAGCATTTGAATTTGAAAAACGAATTTGAGTGTACTGACGGAGTTTACTGACTGTACTAATTCATCTAGTATAATTCAGATATCTGTAGACTACAACTAAGAATGAAATATAGCTTAGGTTTGAGATAAGTGTCACTCCATAAAGAACATGACTTCAGCAAACTGGAGGACTGGCGTTCCTGGTCTTTTTCTTCTGGAAGATTTTCCCGTCCGGTTGTTTCCTCCATGTGAGTGTGACGTCCTGATCGCTCAGCATCTGCTGTAACTGAACCACAAAACAGGCTTTCATTAAACAAGTGTGATGTATTTCTCCTCAAAATGATCATCTTATACTTTACAAATCTTGCCCAAAGTGGAGAAACTGGCAGAGTCAAAACACAAAGCATTATATTTTGTGATAATGCGAAGGACTGACAAACTCATTGAACAAATGCTTCCAAATCTAAACACATTCGTCACCAAAAATAAATGTCACCAAAGGTCTTAATAAAGACTTGTTGCACACGTGTGATGATCCATTACTGTAATATAATATGAATAGAAATAATCCAGCCAGCACAGCATTTTAATACTTTACTGCCGCACTTCACATGTCGGTCAACATTAGAGAATTTTTTTTTTTTTTTTAACAAAATGAATGTACTATATTTTGATAATGTTTTTTTTATTTATTTAATATTTTGTATTTTTATGGGATTTTATGGTACTAAATTAATTTTACGCTATATTTATAATGCATTTATTCACTTATTGCGCATTAACCTGACAATTAAATTTCCAAATTAAACTATGGTAAATCTTGAGTGCTTTAAAGCACAGACTCCAGTTATATCTCTTTTTTTTTACATTTATTGTTGTGAAAATTTGCAAAAAATTACTCAAAAACTGTGATAAAATCATAGCTATAAATATACACACGTTTGATATCGCAAAAAAAAGAGGTTTCATTCAAGATTGTGTTTGGCTGCAGTACCAAACACTTCCACTAGAGGAAATTCGTAATTTTTGAAAGCGAGGAGCACAGAAGTGTAACTATTTTTATCAGGACCTTTTAAACCTGTTTGAATCATCTTTGTTTTTTTCCACACAAGTGGCAAAACCTTTAGCAAGTATCGTACCATTTCGATAAAGAAAACAAGTAAAACATTTCTGTCAGAAATGACCGAAGAGCACCAGAGGGTTAGTATTATAAACCCACCTTGTTTAAGACGAGTGCACTCAATGTAGCGTCGTCCGCGTTCTCACTGGCTTTGACCTGCACTCGGATCAGCTGCTGCTTACTCCTCACTGCAGGACAAGCACATCATATCTTTATGTTTTACTATATCTTACTTTATAGATGAGGGATTCCCAAACTCCTAGTCAGCCGAACCGTCCGTGCCGCCAGAGGTTTTAAAAAGTGGTGGGGACAATATCGACCCTGGCAAAAAGTGGAGCCTGCAAATTACGCCCCTGTGAGTTCACCACACGTTACTGGTTAACAGTCAGTAATAAAATAAGAATGAATAAACACATTTCAAGCAGTAGCACAAATAAATAAAACAGAATAAAGAGTGGTAAAAAATGATCAAGACAAACTTCCCAAAGTGATTATCGGCTGATGGCGATCAGTGGTCGACCGATCTGAGACCCCCAACCAAAAACGTGACTCAAATTTTAAGACATGTGTATAGAATTAAATCATAAGTGTCAAATTAAATTGAAGATTTTAAAATAAAACTCTTGCTAAGATGCACCAAAATTTCGAGTACTGAAAATTTTCGGCGGGAACAGCTATTTTCGGGTTTCAGACTTAAATGGTTTTGGAGGGTTTTTGAGTGCATCCCTATTCATAACTTGTAGTGTTTTCATTTCTATAAAGATATGTATAATATTAATATTTTAATTTGACATTTTTTTATATTTTATTTAATAATTAGCATTTCACAGTTCTCTCATGAACCTCCAGTTTGGGAAACTCCTTTTAAATGAACAGTCATAATCAGTTTCTGTCAACAAACAACGAAAAGAAGGAAAGTAAAGGACTCACCAATGCTGCAGTAGAAGTAATAAGATGAAGCGCAATTTTGATCATCAATGGAAGCACTAGAATTATATAGACCGACACAGTTTTGGCCCTTCGTGTTGAGTCTCTGAGCAATGAGTTGGGTTGAGGAAGTAAAGTTGGCCTGATCTGACCACTTCCACGAGTCCCTGTACAGTCCGATCCAGGCCATGGTCACATCCTTAATCAAGTTGGTGATCTGTGCGTTGTCGTCTAGACTCCTAACAGTGGCCAGGTCTGTGTGATGCTGTCTGCAATACTTCTGAGCGTTGAGCCACGTCATTGCAGTTTTGATTAAAACCAGTCTCACTGTTGCGTTGGCCCTTTCTGTGAAAAACAGAGTCAAGGCATCAAAGGCATGACACGACTAAATCATTTTCTCTAGTTTGATTGATTTTCTCTAGTAGTCTGGGGCGGCAGTGGCTCAGTGGTTCATGTGGGTTGTTCTATGAACCGAAAGGTTGGTGGTTCAATCCTCGGTTCCACCTGACCAAGTGTCGAGGTGTCCATGAGCAAGACACCTAACCCGACGAGCTGTCTGGCGCCTTGCATGGCTGACACCGCCGTCGGTGTATGAATGAGTGTGTGAATGGGTGAATGTGAGGCAAATGTGAAGCGCTTTGGTGGCCATTAGGTCTATGAAGGCGCTATATAAATGCAGTCCATTTACCATTTACCATTAGTTTAACGAGTGTGAGCTGCTTAAACCTGCCAACATTTGTTCCCAGAAGTCAATAATATATATATATATATATATATATATATATATATATACGTATATATATATCCAAAGTTTTGTTATGAACCCAGCATGAATGAAATGAGTTTTTTTTTCTTTTTTATACTCCATTTCAGTTATTCCACTTCAAAATATCCTGTTTAATTTACTTTGCATTTCTTTGTAATTATTTGTGAAATTTACTAGTAATTTTTGAGTGAAAGTTGTAGCCTAAGTCTTAGACCAAATATTTTCAGTATTAAAACCTGCATATTTTTTTTCTGTGTGTCCCTCGAAAGCTTTAATACAAGATTGAAATTACATGATGGTCAGTTATTGAAAAACACATATTTTGGGGTAAACTATCCCTTTAATCTCCCATTTTGACTTGTATATGTCTATTCATATCTCAGATAACCAGTGGAGTACCTCAAGGATCAGTCCTGGGTCCTCTGCTGTTCATTATATATTTATTACCACTAAGCATGGGCGTCAGTTTGGTTTGAAATGTGCTGGGGACAGAGACGTATTCGGAAGGGCATTTTCAAAAGTGCTGGGTACAATGACGCATTCATTCTTTTTTTTTTCTCTTTCGAGTAGGTCATGTTTTGAAAGACGATGTCCTGTAGCTTCCTGATGTATAAATAAAAATGAGCACAATGTCCGAGTATAGTGAGTATATGGAGTATATGCGCCCTTTATTGCATATGTACAGTGATGGTCCAGAGGTAGAATTTTTGCCTAGCGTGTCGGGACTCGTTCGAGGTTCTAATCCGCACTCGTAAAGGTTTTTTTTTTTCCCTCATCAAATCCAGTAATGTTTATCAGTGGTTGAATTGATATAATGTTTATCAGTGGTTGTATATGTTTTGATGAGGGGAAAAAATATACGAGAGCGGATTAGAACCCATGAGAAACAGGGACACGTTTGATTTGTTTGATTGATTTGTGATTTCACCGGAACGAATCTCCGCAAAGGATTGAAGCGCGTTTCTGAGAGAAGACAACACATTTCAGTGCTAGATCGCCTGTTATTTAACAAACAAATAAAACGAATGCTGTTAACTGGAGATGTTTCATTTGTATTGGTACATCTGTGCCGCGAGATGTTTCGAAAGTGGTGGGGACAAAATCGACCCAGGCAAAAAGTGGTGGGGATATGTCCCACCTGTCCCACGGTCGGTGACCGTGTGGAACAAAACCCCAACGCTAGTTCCTCGGGCCACACCCACCGCTCCAGTGTTAGAGCCAGCGAGCGCCGAATCGCATCAGGCGTCTGCCTCTTCGCAGGTACCGTCTGTTTCGTTCATCCAGAGGATGATGCGATGTCGATCGCAGCATCACAAGGCGGGCTTGAGTCCTCGGGAAGTGAGGATGCGGCTGCGTTGCATCCTTTGGGAGCGCCAGCGTTGCCCGTGTCTGATCCCAAGATGACGGCCATGCTATCTCGGGCCGCCGTGAGTATCGGGTTAGAGTGGAACCCTCCGCCCTGCCCCGATCTCTCACGGATCCCTCACGGCCACAGCCGATCCCAATTCCTTTTTTCCCCGAGCTGCATGCACTTGGAAGGCTCCTTTGTCCTCCCGAGAGCGCGCTTCAGCTTCCCCCGCCTTTCCTCCCCTCGACGGCGCGGTTGCCCGCGGGTGCGCTGGGATGCCCCCGGTGGAGCGCTCTGTTGCGATGCAACTGTGTCCACAGAGCGCGTCCTCCCGCGGTACTCCCAGGCACCCATCCAAAGCCTGTAGGTTTTTGTCGTCTATGGCGGCGCGTTCTTATAGAGCGGCGGGACAGGCAGCCTCCGCCCTGCATGCTATGAGCACCTTGCAGGTTTTCCAAGCCAAACTGCTCAGGGATATGCACGAGGGGGGGACTGACCAAGCGGCTTTTAGCGAGCTGCCACCGACCTCGCTCTCCGGGCGACGAACGTGGCCGCTCGCTCCGTTGGTCAGGTGATGGCCACCAGTGTGGTCCAGGAGCGCCACCTATGGCTTAACCTGGCAGACACGCGGGATGCCGAGCGGACTCGTCTGCTCTACGCCCCACTCTCCCAGGTTGGCCTTTTCGGCGGTGCAGTCGAGGACTTTGCCCAGCAGTTCTCGACTGCCCAGAAGCAGACGGAGGCGATTAAACACATCCTGCCCCGACGGCCAGCTGCCGCTTCCACCCAGCCGTCGGCTTAGACGCCTCCCCCTGCTCGCCACCGAGGACGCCCTCCTGCGGCTCCCCTCCCTCCCACGCGGCCCCAGCGGGTCGCGGTGCGGAGGAAGCCGCAGGACAGCGTCACAGCCCCCTCAGGCCGCGCGCCCCGCTAAACGCCAGGCGAAGCGGCGTTCCTGAGACGGGCTGCTCAGTAATGAGGTCGAGTTTTTCCCAGGAGGTGGTAGCAGGCCCCCTCCTTCCCCCGGTGGAGGGCCGGGGGAGAATCTTTTGTTCTCAGCTCCCCGCTGCTCACCCACAGGTGGGCAGCACTCTGAGTTGGTTAAAGAAAGACTTGACATCATCACTAAGCATACAGACAGGAATGAGCACGCACGACGTCCCAGTGCGTCGCCCCGCTCATTCCTCTCTGTCTCTGAGGGTGCGGAAGGGAGCATGTGTCGTCTCTCGACTACACCACTCCCCTCCCCCTCTATCGCCTGACCCCCGGCAGAACAGACCGGCGTGGAACGCTGGTCCTTCCCTGGTCTCTTCTGTCGGGGAACAGGGCTCGACTGTGCCTCTGCACGGGGTAACTACTTTGCGCATGCCGGTCTCCCCGCCTCGCCGACCCTCCGGGGGGACGTCTGTGGTTCGCATGACCCCGCTGTTTCAGTCCCTGGGAGCTTGGCTAGAGCTCCCCGGCCTGTCCCGCTGGGTCATCAGAACGATCAGATTCGGCTACGCGATTCAGTTTGCACGGTCTCCTCCCCGTTTCAGGGGAGTTCGCTTCACGGTGATCGGTGGCAATGCCCCGGTCATGAGAGCGGAAATTGCGATCCTGCTGGCGAAGGGTGCAATCGAGACGGTCCCTCCAGCTGAGATGAGGTCAGGGTTTTACAGCCCCTACTTCATTGTCCCCAAGAAGACCGGTGGGTTACGACCGATCCTGGATCTGCGCATTTTGAACCGTACTCTTCAATGATTGCCGTTCAAAATGCTCACAGCCAAACGCATTTTTGAATGCGTTCGGCCTCAGGATTGGTTTGCAGCGATAGACCTAAAGAACGCGTACTTTCATGTCTCCATTTTGCCTCGACACAGACCGGTTCTTCGGTTTGCTTTCGAAGGCCAGGCATATCTGTACACGGTTCTCCCATTCGGGTTAGCTCTGTCACCTCGCGTCTTTACGAAGATCGTCGAGGCAGCCCTTGTTCCCCTTCGCGAACACGGGGTTCGCATCCTGAACTATATCGACGATTGGCTGACCCTAGCACACTCTCGAGAACAGGTTTGCGAACACAGAGACCTGGTGCTCCAGCACCTAGCCCGTCTGGGCCTTCGGGTCAACCGGGAGAAGAGCAAACTTTGCCCCGTGCAGAGGATCTCTTTTCTCGGTGTGGAGATAGACTCGGTCGCCATGTCCTCGCAGCTCACGAACGAGCGCGCGCACTCACTGCTGACTTGTTTTCGACAGTTCGAGGACAAGAGTGCGGTTCCACTGAAACTTTTTCAGAGGCTCCTGGGGCATATGGCATCTGCAGCCGCGGCTACGCCGCTCGGACTGGTTCATATGAGACCGCTTCAGCTGTGGCTTCGCGATCGAGTCCCAAGGTGGGCATGGCATCGCGGCTCGCTCCGAGTTCCAGTGACTCCAGCGTGCCGCCAGACCTTCTTCCCGTGGTCGAACCTCAGCTTTTTACGGGCCGGAGTCCCTCTTCAGCGAATTTCCAGGCATGTAGTTGTCTCCACAGATGCCTCTACCACGCGTTGGGGTGCCATGTGCAATGGCCATACAACCGCGGGTTCCTGGACAGGACCCCAGCGCCTCATGCACATCAATTGCCTCGAGCTGCTGGCAGTACGCCTGGCCCTGCACCGCTTTCGAGCACTGCTCAGGGGTCAACACGTACTTGTCCGCTCAGACAATGCCGCTACGGTAGCGTATATCAACCATCAGGGTGGTCTATGCTCACGTCGGTTGTCGCAGCTTGCTCGCCACCTCCTGTTATGGAGTCAGAAGCACCGGAGTTCCCTTCGTGCAGTGTACATTCCAGGAGACCGGAACCTGGCGGCCGACGAGCTGTCACGGGTCCGCCCTATCTCCGGCGAATGGCGACTCCATCCCCAGACGGTCCAGCTGATTTGGGACCAATTCGGGGAGGCACAGATAGACCTGTTCGCCTCTCGGGACTCATCCCATTGCGCCCAGTTTTATTCCCTGTCCGAGGGCACGCTCGGCACAGATGTACTGGTGCACAGCTGGCCGCGGGGCCCACGCAAGTATGCTTTTCCCCCAGTGAGCCTTCTTGCACGGGTGTTGTGCAAGATCAAGGAGGACGAAGAGCAGGTCCTGTTGGTAGCCCCCTGTTGGCCCACCAAGACGTGGTACTCCGAACTCATGCTCCTCGCGACAGCACCTCCTTGGCCTATTCCTCTGAGACAAGACCTACTCACTCAGAGATGGGGCACTCTATGGCACCCTCGTCCCGATCTCTGGAGGCTGCACGTGTGGCTCCTGGATGGGACGAGGCAGGTTTGAGTTCGCTGCCACCTGCGGTGGCGGCAACCATCACTTCCGCTAGAGCGTCGTCCACGAGACACCTCTATGCGTTGAAGTGGAACCTCTTCGTCAACTGGTGCTCTTCCCGCGGAGAAGACCCCCGGAGATGCTCGATCGGGGTCGTGCTTTCCTTCCTGCAAGAGGGGTTGGAGCGCAGGCTGTCGCCCTCCACTCTTAATGTTTACGTCGCGGCCATTGCCGAGTCTCATGAAGCAGTAGAAGGTAAGTCCATCGGGAAGCACGACCTGGTCATCAGGTTCCTGAGGGAAGCGCGCAGATTAAATCCACCTCCACGCCCTCCCCTCGTGCCCTCTTGGGACCTCTCAGTAGTTCTAAGTGCTCTGCAGAGGCCTCCCTTTGAGCGTTTGCAATCGGTAGAGTTAAAGTTTCTGTCCATGAAGACAGCACTCCTGGTTGCATTGGCCTCCATCAAGAGGGTGGGGGACCTGCACGCATTCTCCGTTGACGAAGCGTGCCTGGAGTTCGGGGCGGCTTACTCTCACGTGATCTTGAGACCCCGGCCTGGATATGTGCCCAAGGTTCCTACCACTCCCTTCCGGGACCAGGTGGTGAACCTGCAAGCGCTGCCCCTGGAGGAGGCAGACCCAGCCTTGGCACTGCTCTGTCCGGTACGTGCGCTTCGCACCTATGTTGACATAACGCGGTGTTTCAGGACCACAGACCAGCTCTTTATCTGTCATGGGGGGAACCAGAAGGGAAGGGCTCTCTCAAAGCAGCGGCTGTCTCACTGGATAGTGGACGCCATCGCTTTGGCTTACCAACAGCAAGGTCGACCGTGCCCCCTTGGTGTGACGGCCCACTCCACTCGGAGTATGGCTTCCTCTTGGGCTCTAGCGCATGGCGCCTCGCTAACAGACATTTGCAGAGCTGCAGGCTGGGCGACACCAAACACCTTCGCAAGATTCTATAATCTGCGAATTGAGCCGGTGTCCTCTCGCGTACTCGCTGCCGCCAGTACTGGACCCGCTTAGGTGTCTTCGCTTGCTCGCCATTCCACTCCTCCTCCTGCCGGCTAGGTACCTCCATGTGCACGGTTCCCTATGGTAACTGTCTCATGTGTATTCTCCACTGTAAGCCTCTCTGAGCATGTGTATTCCTTTGGCAAGCCATCTGCCACTCCTGGAGTTAAGTTTTTTAGCCACCCTTAGGTTGGTGCTCCAGTGATCTCCATATGTAGTCCCTAACACGGCCATATGTGTATTCCTAAGTCCTCCCTACGGTAGGCATTGGTAGCATGTCCCTCCCGGGATATATTTCCCAGTGTACCTTGGTTTTCCTGTGTCAAAGTAGGTATCTCCTGTGTAAATAAGTAAGTAGGAGTCCAGACTTTCGCAGGCCACTGGAAGACAGCTTGAAGATGGCGTAATGGCATAGACCCCCATTCTCCGTCACTTCTGACGTAACTCGAAGTGACTACGAAAGGGAACGTCTCGGTTACGGATGTAACCCTCGTTCCCTGAGTAGGGAACGGAGACGTTACGTCTCCTTGCCACTTCTGCTGTACCGCTGGGTAGACGCCGGAGGTCAGTCTTGGCTCCTCAGCGAAGACATACTGCGGTTGCGTTCACTTCCTCCTTTTATACCCACGGGGGTAGGGCGGAGTTACGCTATGCAAATTCCGCAGCCCCAAGGCATTTTCATGCCATTGGCTCGTTATTAAATACTCGAAGAGGATTGGCTTTCTATGCGAAACCCCCATTCTCCGTCACTTCTGACATAACGTCTCCGTTCCCTACTCAGGGAACGAGGGTTACATCCGTAACCGAGACAAAATTCATGATCCAGCCTAATTGTTATGTCCATTTTTACTTCCATCGCGCACCCATAATTCCATTATGTTAGTCTATATTAATCTTCATGCATATCGTATTCCTCATTTGAAAGTTGCTTTGGATAAAAGCTTCTGCTAAATAAATAAATTTAGGAATAAATTTATATGAAACAATGAGCATCAATAAAGAGTGTTTCTTACCGTCGTTACACACAAAACTTTGAATTAAATCACAGCCGATATCTTTCCAGTATCCAAAGTAATTTATTACAACACACTCCTCTCCCTCATAGTAGTTATCCGGCTGGTCAGAACCCCAGTACTTAAACACTAAACGCTCCTCTTGATAAGACCAACGCCAGCTGTCGACGTCATTGTAGAGTCCAATCCAGGCAAATGAACGATACTTTTCTTCATCGGCGACTTCTTGCAGAGTGGTCCAGTCTTCATCGCTCTGAACTGTGGCCAGGTCGATGTGGTTTTCCCTGCAGTAGGTTTGAGCTTTTGTCCACGGCATTGACTCTCGGATCAGAACATATCCGTGTGGTTTACACAGAGTTAGTGACAGGAGTCCTGTCGACAGAATACACTCATTTCAAGCTTTGTATACAAATTCCCCAGTGTCCTTCTGAAAGGTTCCACTCAATGTTTTTTTAAATTATATTATCATTGTTTATTATCATTGTCAAATGTGCCCTCAACCATGATTTGAAAAAACAACAACAACAATGTAGTACAAAATCTAATATAGGAGATTTATTGATTTTTAAAAGTGATGTTTGAGATGACCATAGCCTTTCCGCCTGATAGACCTGGAGAAGATCTAAAATATATTCAAGAGCAAAACTAACAGTAAAACCTTAAACTGGACCCGTAAATTAACTGCGAGCCACTGCCAAAGCTTATATCCTTATCCCGGACTAGCCGCCGGTAAAATCCAAGCGATCGTTGCTTTTTGTATCACTATGTATTAAGAGTTTAGATTCGGATATGATTATGAGCGTTTCGTTTCTGACCAATCAGAGCAGACTGGGTCATCTGACCAATCAGAGCAGAGCAGCTCTCATTGAGAGAAAAGAGCCGCATGTTATTTTAATGTTTTACCTGAAAGAGAAAGCAGATGAAAACAAATTTGGTCCGTCATCCTGCACAGGTTTTGTCACTGGAAAAAAGTACAAATACAAAAAAAAATACATTAGTTCACTAATATACATATCATGCATTTAAGTAGACAAATTGACTTTTTTATAGGTTTAATGTGAATGAGGAAAAGTGCATAATTTCATGTTTTATCAACTGTGCTTGCTTTGCTGTGCACCAAAATTATGAAAATATAAGAAAATTAAATGGTAAAATGACGTATCTATCAACAACAATATGTGAGGCTCAGAAAAGAGAGTAGACTAATAACAAAACATCCAGGAATTGTCATTACAACATTATTAATCAGAGGAGAAAGTGTAAACTTCCATCTTTTAAAAGTACAGAGAGCTGCTCAGGCACGTCTGATCAAAGAGGTCATAGAAGAAAGAAGAGAGGTCATAGATACATTCATAAGGGTATATCAATATAGCAGAGAAGCATGGGACTCCAAATGTAATCCTTGTGCATTTTATTACCTCAATCTAATGACCATAATGTTATTACATTTCTTCCACACATGCCTTCTGTACATTTAAATGTTCCATGATTAAGTTCCTGAAGAGTATCTATCTCAGATTGATCTTAGATTGATCGTCAGTGGCAGATCAGACATTAGGATCTAAACATTGAACGGTAATAATAGCCATGATTCCATAACTATTACAACAACCAGAGCATATATTTCCTATAATTTTGACATAAAGAATTTATTTGAAGAGGTAAACAGATGCACTTTAATTGTTTTGGGTGGCTTTGTAGTGCGTGTAATCTTAATATATCTTTATTTTTATCAGTTTAAATGTACTTGTGGAGCATGTTAATGATTCACGAGTCTGCAAAACGAACAGTGTCGCCTCAGAAAGATGGAAAGTAGCCCACTTTATTCATCATTTACAGATGTTTCTGAAAACCATTATCCTTAAAAGTTCTTCTTCTCAAATTAACCGACAGTTATTGCATTGTAGTTTTTCACTAGTATGACATTGCGTTTGGACATGTAAAGCATTAAAGATTTGCTCTTTGTTAGTCGTCACCTATCTCAATATGAACCTCACACCATCGGTGCTCGGGCCCTAATAATAAAAGAGACATGAGGAATGCAGTGCAATGTTGAAAAAAGTTGTGCAGTTATAAGATCAATATAACATAAAGTAATAATGTAACACAATGTGCAGTGTGTCATGGCAATTTATCTTTAAAAATGCATCTTTTTACACCACATTGTGCAACCATTTCAATCTTAAAGGTCAGATTAAATGGGGGAAAACAAATCTTGATATTAAAAATGACAAATAAAGTAGATACAAACGAGTACGATATGATAAATATCACAGAAGATTTGATTTCTTATGCATTATTAAATAAGATTTCTTAAGCCTCTGTTCTTTCAAAGCTTTTATATTTAGCATTCTCACTTTATTCCTAATATAAATGTGTATTTGTCCATTACCTTTCATGGAAAACCTCCTTCAGTGTGGAGACGCCGAGACTGATTCCCGTTGTGACTTTGCTGCATTATAAGGATCCTTATTTAAATGGCACCACAGAGCAGGAAAATAACCAGTAACTGATACCATCCTTATGGAAATGGATCATTTGTACATGCTTGTAGAAACAGCATCTGCTCTTCTCTTCCATCGGGGTCTGTGATGTTCCCCATTCGAGACACGAGAACACTTGAGTTGATCATCACCCAATATATACACCATTCCCTTCACCCGTCCCTGAATTCACTTCTCAGAAAACAAGACTTAATATCTAAAGTATTTTTAGTGTAAAGAGAAATTGGAGATGTCCTTAATCCTTAATATAACTCAACTTTTAAGAAACTACAAACGCTAAAATGTTACAAGTTACTGTGATCAAGGAAGCCCGACTGTGCCACCAAAACTTCTTCTTTTTTATTTTAAGAAAAATGTTGCTTTTTTTGGTCACATTCTTAAAAGTATAAACATTGAATGTTTATGTTTCTGTACTTATTGTGTCACTTTAGGGTTTAGCAAACATTATTAACAGCTAATAATCCATCAAAACACAGAGCAAATGTTACAATAGACAAACGGCATATAGTTAATATGGGCTTCTGGACGAGCTCAGTTACTGGTTATTTTCATGCTCAGCGATGCCATTCAAATAAAGAAACAAAGTCCAAATGGAAATCAGTGTCTGTGTGTCCAGATGGATCATTTTGCATGTTTAAAACAACACAAGGTTTTGCACGAATTGGTCATAAATGACTTCCTAACAAACATTGTTTATGTAACCCTTATTTCTTAACTCCAGTCTCTTATTTCTTTACTCCAGTCTCTTCGTCGTGGTTAACGTTAATGAAACACGGGTTACAATGGTGAAAGTTCACATTTCTTCTTTAATCAGAAGCATCGGCATAACAGCATGAACAGCCGCCTAAGTCAACTCACTTCACTTCACTTCTTTTTTTTTTCTCCCAGCACGCTCTGCCTTAAAGGGGCAGGAGCACAAAATAACCCTTTGACATACATATATTTAACTTTGTATGAAACAAGTAAAGATGTATGAAAATACTCAGATTATTATTGTTTAACATCTGTTTCTTATGAAATAAAATAAAATAAAATAAAATAATGAACTAGCAATATAATGGTTACATTTACAATCAAATGAACTGCACTGGAACACATACAGTATCATTACATTATAACAATAAGACAACAGAAAATGTGTAAAACTACACTGACGTTTGATTTTAAAGCCTGTGAAGTGTGATCCATATCATATGACCTTAAATATACAATAATATCAACACTTCAGATAGGAATCATGTATTTGTTTGCTTATAAATAGATAAGCAAGAGACGTTTGTAAAGTGACCTGCAACATACATTTGGCCACTGCTAAATGTTTAAATTTACCTTTTCATTTACGCCTTTAGCAGACGCCTTTATCCAAGTGACTTACATTGCATTTCAAGGTTTAGACAATAATTTATTTTTTATAATTAGTATTTTTCTGACATGCATATTGGGAGGCATTTCAAAGGAATTAAACACTACGTAGAATAACTTACGCAAGTCGAAAACATGTATATCTCATGTTCAGCAGATGGAGCTCCAGTATAGAGCAAGAACAGCTAGATTTTAAGCCACATATCAGTTCAAGCTCATTTTATTTATATAGCACATTTACAACAGGCACTAGACTGACCAGAACATCAATATAATACAATAAAACCTGCATAACAACTCATAAAACACATAAAAGCAGAAAGAGCAACCTTAAAACATGTAGTAATGACTCTCTAATCCCACTTTACAATTTCTTTTGCAGGTCCTGGGGAACTGAATAACCCAAATTAATACAACTATGCAATTTTTATTATTATTAATACACCGAGATGCAATGCTTTTAATGTCCATGTGTTTGTTGAACCATGCACACAAGGCCTAAGGCCATATGAAATACTATACTAATTGTTATGACTTCTTAGCAGTTAAACAAAAAAATTAGTACAATAGAGTACAATCAAGTCCTTATATTATACTTACTGTCACGGCCGGCTCACAAGCCGCGACAAAGAAGGAAATGACACGTAAGATTAAATGCAAAAGGAATAACATTTATTAAATTAAAAATAAGAAAATAGGTCAAAACGAGAACAAGACAAGAACTGAAGCAACAAAACAATGGCACGAGGGGAGAGCGCGCGCCGCCACGACTGAAGGGAGCTGCTTTTATTTGCCGGCATCAGCTCTAAAACAGGTGAACTCCATCAATCCATCATGACGTCACTCACTCCAACTCCAACCTACAAAACAAGTGACAAAGACAACCAAAGCGACATAATATGACCCAGACTGGGGTCGTAACACCCCCACCCATAAAAAAGGGACATTTATGAACACCGTCACCTGATACTTCCCAAAACTGGAAAGACCCACCACTCTGTATTACTCTCCAATATCCTCAGCAACCACGGGCCCTGTGGAAGCAATTTAAGAGAGACAAGTAGAGCAAAACATAGTTAGTCAAACAGTTCAAAGGAACAAGGAGCTCTGGACAATGCGTCAGCTACCACATTGTCAGGTGCATATGACTGCAAGAAAAGGCACCAACGAGTCAG